CCTCCTCCTCCTCCTCCTCCTCCTCCTCCTCTTTCTCCTCATCTTTCTCCTCCTCCTCCTCCTCCTCCTCCTCCTCCTCCTCCTCCTCCTCCTCCTCCTAGTTGGCATTCTGGCTCACGCGCCGCCGCCGCTGGGTCGCCCCGCCGACCCGCCGCCTCGCCGATGCCGCCGACGACCGACGCCCGCTCCGCGAAGGCGACGCTGGACGCTGCGCGCGGCGCAGTGCTGGCGACGCTCGCGGCGGCTGGGCTTGCGAGCGGCCAGCGGGAGGCGGTACGCCTCATCCGCGCCGCCGAAGGCTTGCTGCGCACGGCGGTGGCTGTGCTCGCCACGCCCTCCTCCCCCGCGCTCGTCGCGGCGCCCCTGGCGGATCCAGCGGCTTCCTCGCGCAGGAGGCGGCGGCCCCGCGGCCGCGGCGGCTCGAAGGGCGGGGACCAGAACGGCAAGCACTACATCGTCGCTGACGGCATGGACATCGACAAGGGGTCGGCGGGCGAGGTGGCCACGGGGGCTGGCGCCCCGCCTCAGCCGATGCTGGAGGACGACGCCTGGGCCGACGAGCTGCCCGTGGTGATGCAGGCTCGTGGCCCGCCTGCCAGCGCAGACCAGCGCGAGGGCAAGGGCAAGAACGCGGGCAAGGGCGGCGAGAGCGGCGGCAAGGGCAAGCTTGGCCACCTCGAGGTGTGGCAGCTGAGGAACCTCGTCGTCCGCCTGCGGGAGCGCGCTGGGCTGCCTCCCGCTCCCGAGACGGCCCCCTTCGACCACGGCGTGCTGGTCGCAATGGCCGTCGAGCTCGAGGAGTTGGCGGCCTCGTCCGACGGCGCGCGTGGCGGGGGCTCCGGAGCGGCCGGTGGCCGTCGAGCGCGCGGTGGTCCACGTGGTGACGGTCCAAGGCCCGGGGCGGCCGGCCGCGGGAGGAGCAGCGGGGGGGGGTGGTAGGCGGCCTCGCCGCTTCGCGCGCAGGGCCCTCGCCCCTTCCCCCTCCCGCGGACATGGACGGCATTGACAAGTCCGTCCACGTGTGAGCTCGACTGCATCGAGTTCGCGGTCGGGGGGTCTGGCTCCTCAGGTGGTGTACACTGGCCCCCGTGCAGAGGCGGCAGAAAGCGCCTCGATGGAGTGCGGCACCGCTTTCTCGGTGGATCGCGGATCTCATTTCCTCCCTTCCTCCTCACTCGCTATCTTCCACTCCTCCTCCTCCTCCCTCCTCCTACCCTCCTACTTCTGGCGGCCACTCACTACTACTCCCTTCGCCCTGCCCCCTTCTCCCTACCTTTCTCTCCTACTCCTCCTCCTCCTACTCCTCCGGCTGGACGGCGGCGCCGGCGGCGTGACGAGGGTCTCGAGGCGGTAGAAGTGAAAGGTCTGGGGACACAGACATGCTCGCGTCGTAACAGAAATCAGGACGGAGGTTTCTCGCCGTCTTCGGGCTCCGGAGGCCCTCGCCGGGCCCTTGGGCGGTGGGAGAACGGCGCAGGGTGAAAAAACTGGCCCCGGGGAAAGGGTCGCGGGGCGGAGAACGGGTCCGCATCGGGGCTCGGTGCGATTCCTGCGATTCGAGTCGGTTCGAGTTCGACGGCTTCCGATTCCGCTTTGATTCGGCCTCGGACTCCGATGCGGGCTCCGAGGTCTCGATGCGGGCCTGCTTGCCTGCCGATCTCTGCCGGTTCGAGCTCTCCTGACTCGGCTGCCGATTTCCGCCGATCCGATCCTGTTCGATCGCCGATCCGACTCGTCGATTCGACTCTGGGCCCCCCTCCAGGGAGGGGGGGGATTGGCGATGTGCCGAGGGCCGCGGGCGGAGAACATGCCCGCACCCTCGGGCGAACGCCAGCATGGGTCAAAGGGGGCGCGGATCAGCGACGGGTCCCGTGTCCAGGGGGAACCGCGGATCTGCGCCGCCGAGCGAGGAGGCTCTCGGCGGCTCTCCAGCCTCGGGGGGGCCTTCCAGCGGTTGCGCCTCGCCGAGGGCGTTGCGGGGGTGCGGCCTCCCGAAGCTCGGGCTGACGCTGTTCTGTTGACACGCACGCAACACGTACGGTAGGTTCGCGTCATGTCGACCGGCGGCGACCCCGCCGCCGACGTTCAACGTTGAACGCCGCGGGCGACCCAGAATCGTTCGATGTGGAACGATTGGACGTTGCGGAGACGGCCGATCGTTCAAGGTTGAACGATCCAGCGCGGTGTCAGGAACCAACGCCAGGGTCGACACGGCACGAACCTGCAGTACCGTGGTCAAGACGTCCGCGGCAACACGTTTCGTGTTGGCTCGGCACGTGTTGGCCCACGCTTTGGCGCATCGCATCGGTCGCATGTTGGGGAGGGCACTTCCCCCGATCCACGGAATTTGCGACCGCGCGCCAAGGCCGCGGATCGCTGATCCATGTTTGCGCGCCCCCGGCGAGGGTCGCGGGCGGAGACCGAGTCCGTATCCGTGGCCTCGCGGGCCGCGCGGATACGGTCTACGGCGGAGCAGTGGGGAAGGCGCAGATGGGGGGGGTGCAGTAGTATTCACAATTGTGAGCGCGTGGATGCCATAGTTTGCGGTCTGGGTTTCGGACGCAATCGTTGCGCGTTGATGGCAACCGTGCGTTCTTTCAAGCGCAATCGTTTCCGCCTGTAGAGTTGCAATCGTTAGGAACTATTGCACCTCTCCCCGCCCCCCCCCATCTGGGTTGTCAACATCGCTTCAGCATAAATCCGGGGCGTCCTTTTTGCGGACGCCCCCCGCGCGGAACTGATCTGTGCGACTGCGTATCTGCGGGATCGCACCCTGTCATCCAGACTGCGACTGCGAGGGGGCGCGGGTACGGATATGTTTGCCGCTCGTGAGAGTGAGGAAGCCCAACGGCTTCTAGCAATTTCGTTGGCTCCCCAAGGTTTTCCGGCCTTGGGTTGCGTTCCAGCGGCTGCACCTCGCCGAGGGGCGTCCGCGTGTGCCCAGATCGTCCCGAACAGCCGCTGGAGAGTTGTGTTGGTGTTGGTGCCAATCTTAATTTCCAAGTCTCCAGGATCCCATGCGTTTGGCGGCCATGCGAGGAAGGAGGACGAGGAGGGAGGACGGTGTATGCAGGCGCCAGTTGGTTCAGCAGGGGTCGGCGGCGAGCGAGGGGGGAAGTGAGAAGGGGCGGATTTTCTCAAGAGGTCGCATGTCCCTGGGCCTTCCGATCATTTGTCTAAGCCTTCCCCGAAGACGCAACACACTACTCAGAAGGCGCGAGGGATTTTGAGAAGTCCCGCCGCCTTCTGAGAGGGGCTTCTCCTTCTCACTTCCCACCCTCGGGCACCCCGCATCCGCGCCGGCCACGCCGTCAGCTCGGGGTGCTCCGCCGGTCCCTGCTGCGGCTGCCGCTCTCCCCCGTCCAGGCCCTGCCTTTGCTGCGTGCTCCTCCTCCGCCTGCCCCGCTCCCTCCTGCTCGTCGTCCTCCTCCTCCTCCTCCTCCTCCTCCTCCTCCTCCTCCTCCTCCCGTCGTCCTCCCGCCGGGAAGGTCGCGGCCCCCCCTTGCTCTCTCCGTCCTGGCTCTCGTCTTCCCCCTTTCTCCTCCCCCGCCCCAGGCGTGGCCCAAGTCCAGCACAGGTGCGTCGGCCAGCATGCCTATCGCGGCTGCAAGCTTCGCAGAGGCTCACTGCAGGATTGTACTCATGAACGCTTTGTCTCGTGTGCTTTAAGGCTTTTGCGCGTTTCATTCGAGAAGGGATCAAGGTTCAGTCTAATGTGTATCCAGCTTCTACATCTTATTGTGTCTACAATTTTCTCTCACTAAGATGCCATAATGAGCTATTGTATTTTCGTTCGTGCGTCACAGTTGCATCAGCCGCAACTCTATAAGTCCTTTTTCTCCTCTTGTTCTTCTTCTTCCTCCTCCTGCCCCTCCTCCTCCTCCTCCTCCTCCTCCTCCTCCTCCTCCTCCTCCTCCTCCTCCTCCTCCTCCTCCCTGGGGTCTCTTCGCCCATTCTCCCTACCCCCCCCATTCTCTTCTCCTTCGCAGTGCAGCCCGCCCTGCTCCGCGCGGTCCTCCTCTCCCCTTGCTCCCTCCCCCTCCCTCTTCCCCTATGGAGGCGGAGGAGGGAGGGGGAGGGGCCAGGGAGGGGGAGGGGAGGGGCGCACCTCGCGTTTCCCCCCCCCCCCCTTCCCCCCTGGCCTGCTGCTCCCGCGGCTCCTCCCTCCCTCCATCCCTCCCTCCATCCTCCATCCTTCCTCTCGTCCCTCCCACATTCCTTTCTCCTCCCTCCCGTCGCCTCCGTCCTCCTCCCTCCTCCGTCCTCCCTCCCTCCTCCCTCTTCCCTCCTCCTTCCGCTCCTCTCTTGACTTCTCCTCTTCCTCCTCTTCATCCTCCCTCCTCCCTCCTTCCCTTCTTTTCTTCCCCTTCTCCTTTGCACTCCTCCTCCTTCTCTCTCATCCTCCTCCTCCTCCTCCTCCTTCTCCTCCTCCTACTCCTCCTCCTCCTTCTCCTCCTCCCTCCTCTCCCTCCTCCCTACTCCATCTCCCCCCTCCTCCCTGCTTCGTCCTCTCCTCCCTACTCCTTCCTTCTTCCCTCCCTCCCCTCCCCTCCCTGCTCTCTCCCTGCTTTCTCCCTCCTCCCAGGCTGGGGGCGACCCGCTGGCCCGTGCGGCCGGCGGATGCTGGCGGCCGCGGAGCGGCCCGGGCCGTCGCCGTCGTCATCGTCGCCGGGCCGTCGACGCCGCCGCCGCCGTCGCCGTCGCCGCCGCCGCCGCCGCCGCCGCCGTCGTCGTCGTCGTCGTCGTCGTCGTCGTCGTCGTCGTCGTCGTCGTCGTCGTCGTCGTCGTCGTCGTCGTCGTCTCGTCGTCTTCGTCGTCTTCGTCGTCGTCTCGTCGTTTTCGTCGTCGTCGTCGTCCCTGTCGTCGTGATCGTGATGGTGATCGTCGTCGTGGTCGTCGTCGACGTCGTCGTCGTCGTTTTCGTTGGCTGCGTCGTCGCTGGCTGCGTCGTCAGCGATGGCGTCGTTGCCGTCGGCAGCAGCGGCGTCGAGCAGCCCCCCTTTGCTCCCGAAGGCTGCCTGGGCAGCCGCGGCGGCGTTGTCGTTCAGCGACTCGGGGTGGACAACTGGCCCCAGGGAGACGGTCGGGACTTCCCGGGCCCCCGTGTTGAAACAAGCCGCGTCATCGCATGTTTGGGTCCGTCTCCTCCGCCTTCCATCGTTTCTCTTCATCCTCCATCCTTCCTTCCCCCCCTCCTCCCGCCCTCCGCCCTCCCCTCCGCCTCCCTGTCCTCCCCCTCCCTCCCCTGCCTCCCCTTGCTCCACCCCTCCCTCCCCTCTCCCTGCTTCCTTCCCCCCCAGCGCCCACACCCCAGCCGGCGGGGGCTCTCGCCAGGATGAGTCGGGCAATTCCACCGACTCGGCGCAGGCCCACTCGGCGATCGATGACATGGCGCGGGGGGATTCTGAGAACTGGCGCCGCGAGGGAGTGCAGCAGCGCCGACACGGCACGACCGGGGCCTTCGACACCCATCGCGGCACTTGTGTCGAGCCAGATCGTCCCGCTTCGCTTCAGCAGCCCCCAGTGGAGGAGGAGGCGGAGAAGAAGCAGGAGGAGGAGGAGGAGAAGGAGGAGGAGGATAAGGAGGAGGAGGAGGAGGAGGAGGAGGAGGAGGAGGAGGAGGGGGAGGAGGAGGAGGAAGATAATCAGGAGGTGGACGAGGAAGAGCAACTGCAGGCGACACGACGAAGTCGGAAGGAATGGGCCTGGGGCGGAGGACGTACGGGTGGGTGATCAGCCTCGCGGTTGCGCGCTGAATTCCCTGGGGGGCGCGACCCGCATGAAGGGGGTGGCCCCCGGCGCGAGCGCGCCCACTGAGGCCGTAGGTGGAGGTCCCCGTGGAGCGCGCGTTCGGCGTGAGGCGTGCGCCGTGAGCGAGCGGAAGCCGCGCGAAGTTGCCCAGTGGTGCCATAGGTGGAGCCCCTCTAGCGGGGCACGATCCGCGTCAGCGGTGTGCCGAATATGCGGGTGGGAACCATGCGAACCTTCTGGGGCTGTCGGTGGACCTCCCTTTTGGGCGCGATCTGTGTGAGGGGAACACCGAAGGGGTGTGTCGACTAGACGTGGGCACGGCTGCGAGCTTTCTCTCCAGGACCGTACTTCTTGGGCACGATCCATGTCGGGGTTATGCCGATGTGTGCGGGGCGGCGGGATGCGAGCCTTGTCATTGGGGCCGTCGGTGGAGCTCCCTGCGGGGCTACGATCCGTGTGCAGGGGCACGTTATGCGAATCCTGCCATTATAGTCGTACGTGGAACTCATTGTGGGGAACGGTCCGCGTGAAGGCTGTGCCAAAATGATCGGATGACGCCATTCTGGCACTGTAGGTGGAGATTCTGGCGGGCACGATCCGCGTGATGGGCGTGCCGAAATTGGCCGGATGACTCTATGTGTGAATCCCCGTGCCTTTCTCTGGGGCCGTAGGTGTCGCTTCCGGGGGGGGGAGCGATCTGTGTGAAGGGTGTGTCGACATGGGCGGGGGGGCATCGTGCCATCCCGCCTCATTCATCTCCCTTCCTGGGTTCCTCCTCTCCACCCCCATCAGGCAGGGTATTATCGCATCCCTCTTTCCGCCTGTGTCCGCGCTTTTTCCCTCATCCCTCTTCCCTCGGCGTTCCTCTCTCCTCCCATAATTTGTTTGCGACAGGGGCCGATGGCACTTGCGACCCCCAGCCCGGCTTTCCTGGAACGTTTGCTTGGGCTCCCCGTCCCTGGTTCTCTGACTTTCTGGGTTCCTCCGGGTCGGTTCCTTGCACCGTTTGCACCTCTCATATGGTAGTCCTCGGGGTCGGTTCCTTGCACCGCTTGCATGTATCATACATGCGAGAGTGCCGAGCCCCGGGACTGGGGCCGGGACACCCTCCCCGATTTTTGTCCCCCATTTCGGCCCCCGCGCCCCCCTCGGAGGCCTCCTGGGCCTCCCCCGGTCGCCCTGGCTGCCCATGAGACATGGATGAGCGACGAGAGCGGCGCAATGGGGCCCACGACGCCCCAAGATTGTCTCCAGAAGGCCCAAGAGGCCCTCAAGGGACCCTAAGAAGGCTCCAAGATGCTCCCCAACAGCGCCCCCAGATGGCCAAAATGAAAGGCTTCCTGCAGGGCACCGTCGACTTTGAGCACATGCGCTTTTTGAATCTTCACGGTGCCCCAAACGGCCCCAGAGGCCCCCAAGGCGGCCCAAGAAGCCTCCAGGCGGGCCTCCAGGCGGGCCCCAAGACGGCCCCAGAGAGCCCCGAGACGGTCCAGGAGGTGCCCAAGAAGGCGCAAGAGGGCCCCAATGGAGGCCGACAGGGGGGAACCCGAAGTTATAGTTTGAGCCCTCCGCTCCAATTGGACCCCCGAGGCCGCCAGCAGGCCCCCAAGAGGCCCCCCAAGGGCCCCCAGCCAGGCCCCACGGCTTCGACCACGATACGACGACGGCTGCGGCTACGACTGCGACGACGACTACGAGGAGTCAGCGGCCACGACTACGATCTCGACTACGACTACGAAAGCTCGGCATCGAAGCGACGTGCATTCCCATTGCAATCCTCACGAGAAGGTGCTCACAAATCCTCTCCCGTGTAGGGTCGCCCGCACTGGATTTTCCCTGGGAGAGAGAACCTCCCAGCATTTTTTTCCCTGCACGCCCAGCAGTGGCGGGAAACTGCTCTCCGCCGCGACGACGACGACGAGGAGGAGGAGGAGGACGAGGAGGAGGAGGAGGAGGAGGAGGACGAGGAGGACGAGGAGGAGGAGGAGGAGGGAGGAGGGGCGAGCTCGTCTCCCCCCCCCTGGGGGGGGGGGGGGGGGGGGGCACGCCCGAGGGCCTCGTGAGGTTCGCCAGGGCCGTGGCCTCGGGGGGGCCCCGGTGGAGAGGGCGGAGCGGAGTGGAGGGGGCGGTGGAGAGGGCGGAGCGAGGAGGGGGTGCAGCTCGAGGTGCAGTGGGGGCGCGTGCCAGGAAGCCAGTTGGAGTTTGCCAGGGTGCCCTCGGTTCTCTTGGAATTTCATGGGCCCCCAATCAGATCTTGACGATTTTCGATCGACATGTGTGGATCTAGGCAACTCGCGTATTTCAGGGTTGGGTTTCCTGCGGAGATTTCTTGTGGCCGAGCCTCCACTGTATTGCTGGGTAGGTCTGCGCCGACTGCATCGCGAGTCGGCAGAGGAAGAGGTACCCACGCCGCTGCCCTTCGCCCGCCTTCCCCCTGTTCGGCCCCCCACGAGGCCACCGTCGCCACCGCTGGATCCGCCTCGAGATCCTGGCCCGAACGCACCCTGGGAGAGGTCCGGGGAGTCATACCTTTTTGTTTCCTCAGCGATAGTCTGGGTGCGGTCCGACCGCCGCGCGTGCCGCAGGCGGAAGGGGGGCAGGGTAGCTTCGCGTCGTGTCGACCGGCGGCGGTCCCGCCGCCGGCGTTCCACGTTGAGCGCCGCCAATGACCCAGAGTCAGTCGATGTTGACCGATCTGACGTTTCGGAAACGGCCGATCTCCCGCCGCCAGCGTTCAACGTTGAGCGCCACCAACAGTCCAGAGTCGGTCGGTGTTGACCGATCCGACGCTTCGGGAGCGGCCCATCTTGCAAGGTCGAGCGATCCCCGCGGTGTCGGGAGCCAACGCCGGGGTCGACCCGGCGCGAGCCCGCGCCGTCGTCGCGACTCCGCCGCGGGCCGCTCCCGAGAGCGGGCGCAGCCCTCCCCGGCCCCGGCCCGGCGACGGAGCGAGCGGCCTGCCCCGCGCTGGGAGCCCCGCCCACGGCGGAAGAAAACAGGGTCATAAAGCTCCCTCCCCCCTCCCTTCTCCTCCTCCCTCCCCCTCCCTCCCTCCCCTCCCTTCCCTCCCTTCTCCTCCCCCCCCCCCCCCTCCTTCTCCTCCCCTCCCTTCCTCCCCCTCTCCCCTCCCTTCCCTCCCTTCCTTCTTCCCCCCCCCCTCCCTTCTCCTCCTCCCTCCCCCTCCAGGAGCTGGATCAGTCGTGTGGTGGGCCGATCGACGGGCTCGTCGTCGCTAGCATCCCCCGTGTTCAGGCTACGAGTCGGCTGTCTTACCAGGCCAAGTGTTACGTCGGGCGTGTCCCTCTACAGGAGGAACATTCAAGAATAGTCCACACACAGTACGCGAGCGGTTTTCCGATTCCTTGCCTGACTATTTTCATAGTTCTTGTGCTTCTTCCAACACGTGCCTTTCGCAGGACACGCCCGACCTGAGCCAAGGGGGGCGCCGCCCCTTCGCCGGAGCGTCCTCGCAGAAGGGCCGCCCGACGGCGCCCCGCCCGCCCGAAAGGCCTCGAGGTCGGGCCGGCCCGCGGCCTCGGCCAGGCTGGGCGACGGGAGGAGGCCGGGTCGCGCGCAGCCGCCCGCCCCGCCGCGCGGTGCGCCGCGCCGGCGGCCCGCGGAAGCCGCGGGCGCAGGGCCTCCAGACGCGGGGCTGGGCCGGAGCGCTGTCCTGCTGGGCTTCGGCCGTGCTGTGCCTTTCAAGCAGTGGCGAAGCGTCCTGGCTCGCCTATAGCCCTACCAAACAGTGTTCTAAGAACCTTTTGTGGTTCCCGCGAAATGTTCTTAGTACCTTTCTGGCTGGGTCTGTCTTGTTTTAACACATCGAGTTTATGTTCTAAGAACATTGTTTTTGTTCTTAGAGCATTTTTGGGTTCTACTAAGAGCATTTCGTGGTATGACTATAGGAATGCCGGGACGGTCGGTCCCTGCTCAAGTCTTGCGGCTCTGGCGGGGCGGTGCAGGAGGAGAGGTATATAGAGCGCGGAGGAGCACGGAGCACAGAGCGGGGAGGTGAGGAGAAGCAGCGCTTCGGACCAGCCCGGCCCAGGCATGACATTTTCAGCTGTTTCCGATTTGGGGTCGCCGGGGAGTCCCGAGCCTTTCCCCCCGGGGGCGCCGGCTTTTCATCACGCGTCGGTGTTGTCGACAGGCCCGCCGCCCGGCGAGGGCTCCCGGTGGCCGAACTCTGCGCAAACCCGTTCGTCGCGCGCGCGCGCGTGCGTGTGTGTGTGTGTGTGTGTGTGTGTGTGTGTGTGTGTGTGTGTGTGTGTGCGTGCGTGCGTGCGTGCGTGTGTGTGTGTGTGTGTGTGTGTGTGTGTGTGTGTGCGTGGTGTGTGTGTGTGTGTAGGTGTCTGTGTGTGTGTGAGAGTGCGTGTGCGTCTTTATTCGCGTTTCTTAGGACCTACCAACGGCCTGTCCGCCAGCGCAGTGACTCTGCCTAGCCGCCGAAAACGCGTGTGTGTGCGTGTATGTGCGCGTGTGTGTGTGCGTGTGTGTGTGTGTGTGTGTGTGTGTATGTGTGTGTATGTGTGTGTGTGTGTGTGTGTGTGTTTCGCTGCGCGAGCGTGTCTGCGTCGCTGTGTCCGCTTGCGTAATGCCCGCTGCTCCTCGTCGCTGAATCCCTGCTCCGTGGGAGGTGTCGGAGGTGGTGAACTCGGCGCTGATCAAGCAGGCCCGCGCCGGTCGGCTGCCGCGCCGTCGTCCTCTCCCTCCCCCGTCTCGATGGCGGAGGGCGGGCGGGAAGGAGGAGGAGGAGGAGGAGGAGGAGGAGGAGGAGGAGGAGGAGGAGGGAGGAGGAGGAGGAGGAGGAGGAGGAGGCGAAGGAGGAGGAGGCGAAGGAGGAGGAGGAGGAGGAGGAGGGAGGAGCTGGGACTGGGTGGGCCCTGACACCGTCCCCAGATTCATTATAAGCATACCTGCGCCCACCCGTGCGGCAGTGGCCCACGATGATACGCGAGGAACCTCGGGCAGGCCTGCTCCCTGCTGCAGTGTGATCCATCAGGCGTCGTACAAGCCCGATCCCTGACGGCACGACGAGGTCGTGCCCGAACGTCGGTCCTCGGGCTTTTAGAGGGGTGTCCCTAAACATGTGGGCGGTTTCAGCCGACGATGTGATTCGGCGGCGAGCCCAGAATGTGATTCGACGATGTGATTCGACGATGTGATTCGACGATGTGATTCGACGACGTGATTCGGCGGTTTCAGCCGACGATGTGATTCGATGGGTGAGAGGGGGCGGGCCTTCTCAGAAGGCGGTGGTCGGCGGCGCTTTTTCGGGAGCGCCTTGCGCCCGTCACCAGATGGGCGCGCGGGGATGCCTGCCCGTGGTCCGCGCTGTGCCTGGGGGCGTCGCCCCGGCTGGTGCCGAGGGAGGGCCCGGCGGCGAGCGAGGGGGGGGAGCGAGAGGGGGCGGGCCGTTTCAGCAGGCTCAGAAGTGGCCCGGCCTTCCGAGAAGTTTTCGGGGCCCTCCCGAGGCACAGATCACTTCCTCGGGAGGCGCCGGAGGGCTCCTGAGAAGCCCCGCCGCCTGCTGAGAGGGCCTGCTTCTTCTCACTCCCCGCCCCGCTCGCCGTCGACGTTGAGCCGACGAGGAGCCTCCGGCGAAGGGTCACTTCTGCAGTCAGGCTGCTTAGGCTGCGTCCAGGAGGGATGGCGACAAAGGGGCCCAGCCCCTCTTCGGCCCCAGAAGCGCGCGCACACGTGCAGAAAAAGAGCGCCTATGGGAGCAGCCGGGGAAGAGCCCCAGGAACAGCGAGCCGCCTCCGAACCCGAGCTGCTCCTCACCCGCCTGCCTCGCTCGCCTCCGAGTGTGATGGGCCTGTTTTCCACCACCACCACCACCACCACCACCACCACCACCACCACCACCACCACCACCATCACCATCACCACCACCACCACCATCACCATCACCATCACCATGAGTTGGAGGGGGGAAGGTGGAGGGTGAGGAGGAGGAGGAGGAGGAGGACAAGGAGATGGAGGAGGAGGAAGGTGGAGGACGAGGAGATGGAGGAGGAGGAAGCGGCCCTCTACAGGGGGAACATTCAAACATAGTCGACAAAATAGTCCAGGGACGATTTTTTTGAGCATGTTTTGACCATTTGGGAGCATTGTTTTGTATTTTTTCATTTTTCGTCGAAGATCCCCTTCTGAGGGGGACACGCCCGACTTCGGGGTGGCCTTCCGTGGCCCGCCGTCGGGCCCCCAGCAGGGGAGCAGCCTCTGAACGGCTATTGGGGGCGAGAGCCAGGCGCCCAGGGAGAGGCGCCGGGGGCGGACAGGCCTCCTGCCTCGGGAGGAGGAGGAGGAGGAGGAGGAGGAGGAGGAGGAGGAGGAGGGGGAGGAGGAGTAGGGGAGGAGGAGGGAGGAGGGAGGGAGGAGGAGGAGGAGGAGGAGGAGGAGGAGGAGGAGGAGGAGGAGGAGGAGGAGGAGGAGGAGGATGAGGAGGGGGAGGAGGAGTAGGGGGAGGAGGAGGGAGGAGGAGGAGGAGGAGCAGGAGGAGGGAGGAGGAGGAGGAGGAGGAATAGGAGAACGAGGGGGGGGGGGGAGGAGGAGGAGGAAGGGGCGGGTGTCAATGCAATCGGGGGCCGGTCGGAGCGCCGCATCCTTGCAGGATCCTGCAGGGCCGGGGTCTTCGGCGCAGGGGCGAAGCCAAGCCACGCCAGGCGGGCGTCGGGGGCACGGCGGGCCCCCGAGGGAGGGGTCCACACCTCCAGGTCGGCGCTCGGCATGGCGGGGCCGCGCTGGCTCGCTTGCAGGTGCGCAGAGCAGCGGCCGGCCGGACTCGCGGCCCAGCGGAGTGGGGAGGGGGGGGGCGGGGAGGAGGAAAAAGGAGGGAGGAGGGATAGGAGTGAGGCGGAGGGGTAGATTCTTGACGCTCCGCGTGCCCCCGCAGGCCCGCCCGGCAGCTTAGGCAGCTTAGGCAGCTTAGGTGCGGCCGTCGGTCCCCGTGCGCTAGGCAAGTGGGCTCGCGCGTAGCCCGCCCGACCTCTGGCGCTGCTGGCGCTCTCGCCTGCGGCCGCGACGAAAAAGTACCCCCGCAAACTCGGCGGCAGTTTCGGCGGCCGTTAATTCGCGCGCTTAGGTAGCTAGGTTTGGCTCGTGGCCCGGGCTGACTTCGGACGCCACCTGCGCTTCCGCCTGCGGCCGCGACGGACCCCCCCCCCGCAGGCCCATCCAGAAGCGATCGCCGGGCGAGTGGACCTGACCCAGGGGAGGGCGGAAGCACGCAGTGGAGCAGCCTCTCCGAGGGATCCATGGGGACCGAAGCCTACCGTCGCAGACCTGTGGTTGTGAGATCCTGGGGCCATGCAAGTAGGGGGGGCCATATGCGAACCCTACCCCCCGCCCCCACGACTTCTGAAGGGGGAGGGGGGGTTCACTTCGTTCGGGAGTTCCCAAGTGGAGTGAACCCCACCCTCCCCCTCAGAAGTCGTGGGGGGTAGGGGTAGGGCTCGCATGTGATCCCCTAGCAGGGGATTTCGTGGAGCGTTCATTTGGATTTTCGGGAGGAGTCCTCTTGGGGCTTTCCTGTTTCGTGCGATCCTCGGGCTCTTTTTTGACGCTCTGTGGGGCGTCTTGGGGCCCGCTTGGAGCGATCTTAGGCCCCAGGGCTAGAATAGTGCGGGGTCCTGAATTCAATCGGGTCGTTCACTTCGCTGCCCTTTCTTAGTTTTATTGCGAGCATGCACGCGCCGATGCGCGCGCGTGCGTCTTAGTGACAACAGGGGGCGCGCGCCCGTTCCAGCGCGCGCGTATCCGAACCCAAGTGCTTACTTCACGGAACTATAGCAATGCCGCATGATTCGTAAAACGCCTCCGCTCATCAACGAGATTCTGGAGAAGGGAGCGTTTCATCTGAGAAATCCAGGTAAGGACAACCGTCGAATTTCATTATGTGAATCAGCTTGAGCAATTAATTTGTCATCAACCGAAATCGTGACGGAATGCCGCCATGCAGAACGTTATGACAGTTGCAACGTCTGGGAATTGGAACAATACCATGATGACCAACATCAATAATCACCCAACTATATCAGATGCAGGAACCCCACTCCGTGTTTGATCTGGAGGCCAATGACAGTCCTACTCTAACCCTTACCTTCATCGTGTTTTTCGTGCAAGACGATATTTCGAGGGCGGCGTCAGGAGGCAGAGTCTAGCGACCCTCCGACTTGAGGTGAGGAGAATCGGTCGGTCCGAAGAACTGCGATTGCATTTGGCAGGTGGATAGGCCTCGTTCGGATCAGAGCCCCATGCTGTATCTCCGCCCGGTCTCCGCCGACAGTCAATGTATACGGAACGCTTTGCCAGGGATTTGTTTACGTCGATTCCGAGGGCCATCGTAACCCCTGGCATCGATGTCTCGGCTCTGCCGTGGGGGAAGCCCCTGTATGCGTTCTGTCACCTGTCGCTTCCGAAGCGGCCCATGAGCCACTCGAGACAGCCCAGGGCCACCAGACTGGCACGACCCTCGATACGTCGGGAAGCGGCCCCCCAGAGTTCACACCGAAGGGTCGGCCTGTTTTCTCTCGGGCATATTTAAGGGGAACTCTTCGTCCAGCGTAAAGTCTCACGCGTCAGCGAGGGCCTGGGAGGAAGACCGTGGTAATGACGGGTCAGGGGGGGGATGTTTCGCCCTGTAGCATCGCAGCCCCCAGCTCCTGCCACCCAAGCCCCAGAATACTGAAGGCAGAGCGGTGACCGAGATCCCCGGGGCGCTCGTCGGCCCCAGTTGCTCTGCTGGTGGTCCTTCGGTTCCGCCCGTCAGCGCCATCATATCGGACCAATACGTGGATGGACGATATTCACCAGTCCCTAAATTTCCCTGGTCCCGACAGTGGAACGGAGAAGGGCAGCCGAAAAGCAGGCAGCCATGCCGTCCCAAAAGGAGTTCCAACGAGGACAGGTCTTGCAGTGATCGGCGTGATTCCAGCGCGGCGAGGGACCGAACGCAGTGGTTCCCAGCCCGATCCGCGATCTTATTCATAAACGCGGTGTCGATGATCGAGCGATGCTGGATGCCGACCCGCAGCGTGCAGCGAAAGAGAACATCGCTGTCCAGGACGATCTGGCGCCACCTCGTCTGCCCTGGCTCCTCCTCCGCCTCTCTCTGGTGTTTGGGCTCCGCGTCGGGACAATTTTGTTTTATCCCCGGGCGATTACCAGCGTGACCGGTGGGGGGGCGAGGGATGGGGAACGGGGGGAAAGGGCTGGTCACGTCACGATTCGCGCCGCCGCCGTCTAGGACTTGATGTCTAGGTCCCGCACGGCGCCGGCGCGAATCGTGACGTGACCACAGAGATCCGATGCATCGATTTGTTCAATTTTGGGTCCCTGGAAGTCTCGACTCATTCGGGGGACCTGCTTTTCCCGAGTCGTGTTCTGACGGTCCCAGGGCCCAGTGAGGGCTTCCAGAGGCCGAGAACAGCAGCAAAAACTCCGTCTTGATCTCTGCAGTGCGTTGATTCGTTGGATAGGAAAAAAGTGAGAGGGGGAAGGGCATTGTGGTGCAAGTCCCGGCCGTCGCCGCGGCCCTTGGGCGTCGAGGTCGCCATCACCTCGCCCGCTCCCGCTCCTGCGGCCATGGGGCCTTCTGCCGCTCCCCTGGGGCATACTCAAGGACTCACCAGCCTCGAGCTTATCCCTATCCCTAAGATTGACACGCCAAAAGGCGATGACAATCTTAGGGATTCGCCCTGCAAAACGAAGGGAATCCCTACGATTGGCATCGTGATGAGGAGATGCCCAGCATAGGGATAGGGATATGTTCCAGGCCGGTAAAGGACCCCGCCTCCTCCCTGCTGTTCTGGCTCCGCCTCCTCCCCGAGCTGCCGCCGCGGCCGTCCTTCCCTCGGAGGCGATACGGTCGGTGGTGGCCGAGTGCACCTTCTGCGTCACGATCGCGGACCCGAGGGGCGAGGACGCGCGGCCGCCGCGGAGGGGGGGGGGGGGGGGGAAGGGGGGGGCGCCTCCCCGTGCGGGCCGAGCACTATGTCGGGCCTGTCCCCCTACAGGGGGATTTTCGACGGAAAAATATAACAAATACACCAAAAAATACCCCCAAAAGGTCAAACAATACTCAACAAATAGCTCCCAGACGGTTTTTGGATTATTTTTTGAATATGTTTGGGGTATTTTTGTTTTTCGTCGAAAATCCTCCTGTAGGGGGACAGGCCCGACTTCAGCCGAGCATGAGGGCACGCGGGCGTTTCTTGGTCCTCGGGGCCCGGCCGGGGGCTGGCTCGTTGCTGGCACGTCTGCTCCCCACCCGACAGGTTTGGGCCGTCAGGTTTGAGTCGGGCGTGTCCCCCCACAGGAGGAAGGTTCAACGATTGTCAGCAAAGTAGTCAGGGGGACGTTTTTCTACTGTTTCTGAATATCCCTGAATCTTTTTTGACTATGTTTCATTTTTCGTCCAAGCTCCGCCTGTAGGAGGACACGCCGGACCAAACTTTTTGTTTTAAGAGCAGACCTCCCGACACGTCAACTTTGCATACCGCGGCCGCCAGATCCTCAGGCCCCCCAAATGTTCCCGAGAGTCCTGCGTCGCGCCACTCTGCATACCGCGGCCGCCTGATCCCCAGGTCCCCCGAGTGTCTCCGAGAGTCCCACCTCGTGTCGACTCGCCCACTCTGGATACCGCGGCTGCCCCTGATTCCCAGGTCCCTCGAGTGCCCCCGAGAGTCCCGCCTCGCGCCACTCCGTATATCGCGGCTGCCCCAGATCCCCAGGTCCCCCGAGTGTCCCCGAGTGTAACATGACCTGACATATGGGCATAATACCATAGCGTAACATAGTACAGCACAACAATATAAGCGATGATATACCATAGCATAACACTGCACCACATTACATACCATATCCGAGCAGAAAATACCACATTATGAAACACTATGTCAGACCACGGCATGCCAAAGCACAACATCAGAGCATCTATCATTACATAACCTGGCAAATCAAGCACGCCGTAATAAACCATCACAGAGCTGAACATACCAACACATACCATGCCACGTACTCAATAGCATGGCATGTCATAGCACAGCACAACGCAGCATACCAACGCATGCTTTGACATATCAAGTCTTCCATACCATCTCGGAGCATACCATACCATACAATGCCGTACCATGCTTAATCTCATAACCTAGTATACAGTGACACAACACACCGCACCATAACACAACATCACAGCACATCTATCATGACACATATCGGTGTAACCCATGTGACACATCATACCATGACATAGCGTGGCATACGATGATACAGTTTAGACATAATGCGGCATACCATGACATAGGGCGGCATACACAGGCAGCCACCCACTCCGGTCACTTCGCGACAGACAGGCGGTCCGCTTGGAGCTTTGAGGTGGACCAGTATGACGAGGATCACCTCTGGAGTCATGCGGCAGGGCCAGGATAGATGTCAGTCTGGAAGGGCGCTGTCAGGGCCAAGGGGTTCCAAACCTCAGGCAGGGCTGAGCACAGAACGAGGTGCCCGGCCTCGGGGCCGGTGCGGCTCGCCCTTCCATGCGCTCTCCTTCACCCGCGGCCGCTCTGCGCTGGCGCCTCCTTGCTGGAGGCCCGTGCAGCGCAACTCAGGCAGATGGTCCGATGACCTGGGAGCCCCGAGGACGTCGCTGGACGGCCTGTGCAAATTGATAGCGCGGTGTGCGTCCTTTGTGATGGGCCTGTTTTCCACCACCACCACCACTATAAGTTGGATGGGGGGGAGGAGGACGAAGAGGAGGAGGAGGAGAAGGAGGAGGAGGACCCCCTCCCCCTCCAACTCATGATGGTGGTGGTGGAAAACAGGCCCATCACTTTGTCCTTGCCCGTCCACCTGTGTCACAGCAGTTTGTGGGCTCGCGCCAGCGCCTGCCGCGTTTTCGTGAGCTTTCGTGGGCAGGAGCACGGTCACGTGAAGCGAGGTTGGCGGCCGCCACCGCGCACAAGCGCAGCGGGGACATTCGTCGGAGTAGGCTCGCGAGCGTGTGCGCAGTGTTTTGGGCGAAGGCCCGCGCACCTTACTATTGTGCGTATGCGTGTGTGTATATATATGTACTAGAACCATCGCGCTCGCTTCGCGCGCGCTCAAGCTCTGGCTAGCTTCTTGGGGCCTCCTCGGAGCATCCTGGACTGCTTCTCGAAGTCGTCATGGGACCTTCTTGGCATGTCTTCTGGGGCTTCTTAAAAAGACTTTTGAAGCCTTTTGGGTGCCGTGTTTGTGCCTCTTGGAGCCTCTTTTGGGCTTTCTGGGGGCCTCTTGGCTCTTGGGGGCCTCTTGGGGCCTCTTGGGGGCTTCCTGGGGGCATCTTGGGGCCTCGTGGGGGCATCTTGGGGCGGAGAGCTTGATTTTTCAGTTCGCGTTCATTCTCTTTGGTCCCTGTTGAGCCTTCTTGGGGCCCTCTTGCGCCGTCTTGGGCGGCTCTTGGGCCGTCTTGGGGCTTTGTTGGGCCGTCTTGGGGCCCTCTTGGGGGCCTCTTGGGCCGTCTTGGAGCGGTTTTGGGAGCCTCTTGGGCCGTGTTTTAGCGCCGGAAACACGAAACAGCGAGAATGCAAAAAAACATTGAAACAATCAATGCGCATCAACGATTTAGCCCTCGCGGGGCGCTCTTGGGCGGCATCGTAAATGCCTCTTGCGGCGTCTTGGGGGCCTCCGGGGCAGCTTCAAGTGCATCGTGCGTCGCCAGAGACCCCTGGACGGCGTCTTCCCTGACCTTCCAGGAGGGCGGGCTAAAAAATAGCATGCGACTTAAAAACCTATCCCAGAGCCATTCTATGTCTTGGCTTTTGGTTGTTTCGTTTCGTTTCGTTTTTTTTTTTTTTTTGGTTTTTAGGCCTCCCGTGCTAAAAAATAGCTCTCTGGAAGGTCAGGGTTGGGGATGTCTCGCGAGCGCCTGGGGCCGCCGGGATTGCTGTGCGAGGGCTCCCTGGGGCGATGTTAGGCATCCCAGAGGCGGGTCCGGTCCCCGGTCCCCGCAGTTGTGGTCGAGGTTCCGGCCCTCGGCCCCCGAGCCCGGTGCGCCGTTGTATGTGTATACAGCATCATACGCACCTCTGCCATGGGGCAGCGCTCAGAAGCGAGTCATGGAAAACGTTTTTCTGTTCGCTCGGAATATCCTCAACATTCAGATCAACGGACGCACGCCTCACGCACATCGCGACGTCAGCGTTAACACACCATTTCTTTGTATGTCTAGAAGCACTCGCATTAAGCCATCGCGTGAAGGCAATGCGTTTCAATAGTGTTGGACGTCGCCCATATAAGAATAGCCGTTTCGCATGAGATATCCCGCCCAAACATTGAAGTTCTACGTATTCGAAGTTGGTTCCATAGTTTGCAACACGACAGATTTGCTCGAGACATTCTCCAATTGCAGTTGCAAGGTGCGTACCACCATCCTGCGCCCACACGTCGCAAATGTTTTGCAACCCCATCTGCGCTCGGCCGCGATCCTGCTGTTGCATCTCCTTCCCAACGGCCTCCCTGAAGATCATCATTGCCCCCCTCTTCTTTTCCCTCCTCTTCCTCGCCTCCTTCCCCCCTCCACCTCGGATCCGGCTGCATATTCCTCTTCTCGGCCATGTTCTGCGATGCTTGCGCGCTGCAGTTCTTTTTGTAGGAGCCTGGGCACGCACGCGCCACTTGTTCAGCCGTGTACTTTTGCTGTCTGTGCGGCTCCCGCGATGTTTTCCAAGCCCTGGCCACTTCTGTTGTGAATGGAGTCTCCAACGTTGCAGGGGCAGGATCGGACTGGCCCGCTGGGCGCTCTGGCCGCTCGACGACGGCGACGACGAGGGCGGCAGCCACGGCGGCGACGGCCGCGTCGACGACGGCGACGACCACGGCAGTGAAGACGACGACGTCGGAGACGACGGCGACGCAGACAGCGACGGAGGTGTGGCGACCGCACCCGCGGCGGTGGCAGCCCATGCAGGGCCCGCTTCGATCCGATCCGATCCGCTCCGACATCGATTCCGGGCGGCCCGAGTCGATTCAATTCCGGTTTTCGTGAGCCTCCCAGATGGTCTGCACGCGCGAAATGGGTACTGAAAGAATGGGTACAATGCCCAACAGCGGATCTTGTTCAGTTCGAACAGGGCTCGCTGTCCACGCCGCCGCGGCCTGAGTCCATTCGAGACAGGAGGCCGCCTGCCCAACAGCGGCCGCTGTTGGTTTGGGACAACATTTGTTGTTGGGCATTGTGCCCATTCTTTCCGTACCCATTTCGGGCGTCCAAATCTAGTAGGCCTCCCAGATGGGGTCGGAGTAGATGGGGTCGGAGGATCGCGCCGCATCGCCGATGCATCGGCGATGCGGCTCGATGTGCAGCCCGATGTGTGCCACGCCGGCGTCGCCGATGCATCGCCGATGTCGACGATGCATCGCCGATGCGTCGGCGATGCGGCGCGGTCCTTCGACCCCATCTACTCGGACACCATCTGGGAGGCCTCTAGATCCGATGCGATCCGATGATGGCATGGCGCTGTTGTGTAGCCTGGTGCTGCCTGTCGATTCGGTTCCGACTCCGTGGCGATGCGGCCCGATCCGACGCACGTTTCGTTTCGGCCCGGCTCCCCGCCTCGATGCCGACCGATCCTGGCAGGACGGCGTCGGCAGCAGGCGGCGACGTCGGTCTCGGTGGCGGCGGCGTCGACAGCGGCGGCCGGCGGCGGTCCTGCCGGCGTCCTGCTGGTCGGCCGGCGAGGACACGCCCTTGATCGCCGTCTCCGAGGCGCCTTGCGGTCGGCGTCACCCCAACATGCTGATGTTGTGTGTGCTCGACTACACGTAAGAGTGACCTTTCGCCAGAGTGACCTTTGGTGCGGGCACAATGGGGTCCCCCGATCACCGATTGCGATGCGATAGTAGCGTCTTGCGTGCCTGAGTTTGGTCCCCCCGCGGCCCCAAAAGCCGCGCACCAAAGGTCACTTTTACCCAGGGTCACTCTTGCGTGTAGCCGATGTGCGTCGCCCCCCCAGGTGCGACGCGCGCACCGAGCAATCTTACAGTATATGCGCCGTGGCGGGCGCTTTCTGGCCATGCCGCTCGGGAAACGACATACTACAAGATGGGGACTATATGTTCAGGTCGGACGCGCGCCTCTAAGGAGTACACATAGTGCTAGTATGTCTTTGTGCGTTCCAGGGTCGTCGCCATACGAGCGACGCAAGCAAACGGGGTCGTCTGCGCCGACATGGGCGCTTTGGCTGCCCGGGTAAGGTCGCGCGTAATTGAGCTTCTTCGCTCCCAATGTAGCGTGCCGCGCTGTCGGCCCTCGTAAGCCGCTGCGCAAGGCCCCGTGTTTTTTGTCGTCGCTCATTTGAGGCGCTCCAGAAGCGGCCTCGCCTTGGAGTGCCGAAAGGGCTGGCATCTCTTCCTCGGCGGAAGCCCGCCGAAGGAGATTCGAGGCCGCCTCTCCGCCTGCGGAAGCCGGCGGCCGGCGGACGGCCGGCGGACGCCTGGAGGAGTAAACGTCGGCCTCCCAAGGTATGGCAACACTATTGGGCTCAGGGTTTCAAGGGGACAGGCTGTACCAACCATCGTGCGGTGTTGGGTCCTCGTTTTGAAGGGACAGCGCCCCGCGTCCGCTCCCTCCTTCCTCCCCCCCCTCCCTCTCCTCCCACATCTGCCTCTGCTCTCATGTCCACCAGTTCGGCACACCCCTCACACGTTACGTGGCCCCATGGGGAGCTCCACCGAAGGCTCCAGCGGTCGTCGCTTCGACGTTTGCTTCAGAGGCCCAGGCACGCCCACGCAGGGAGTGGCCGCTCGGGTGCGGAACGGCTTGCGCCAACATGGCCACGGAGGAGGAGGCGGAGGATTAGGAGGACGAGGACGAGGAGGAAGAGGGACAAGACGAGGAGGGGGAGGAGGGGGAGGAGGAGGAGGAGGAGGAGGAGGAGGAGGAGGAGGAGGAGGAGGAAGAGGAACAAGACGAGGAGGGGGAGGAGGGGGCGGAGGAGGAGGAGGAGGAGGAGGAGGAGGAGGAAGAGGAGGAGGAGGAGGAGGAGGAGGAGGAGGGGGAGGAGGAGGAGGAAGATGAGAAGGTGGCCGCCGAGGCTTTTGAGTCCATGACCGGCTTCAGCCGCCACGAGATCCTCGGGGCCCCACCGCCGCCCGCGAGCCCCTCGCTACCTCCGCCGCCGCGGCTTGCGGGAGAGGAGTAAGGGAAAGACGTTGGGGTTGGAAGTGCGTAGGAGGGCGGCGAAGAGGGGGAGGCAGAGGAGGAGGTGGTGGTGGTGGAGGGCGAGGGGGAGGATGAGGAGGATGAGGAGGGCGAGAGGAGCAGAAAGAGGAGCAGAAACAGGAGGAGGAGAAGGAGGAGGAGGAGGAGGAAGAGGAGGAGGAGGAGGAGGTGGAGGAAGAGGAGGGGGAGGAGGAGGAGGAGGAGGAATAGTCGGAGAAGGAGGAGGAGGAGGAGGAGGAAAAGGTGGAGGAGGAGGAGGAGGTTGAAGAGGATGAAGAGGAGGATGAGGATTAGGTTCTGGGATCCAGGTTGCAGGAGCCGGACGAGGACCCAGGATTTTGGTTAGTGCTGGTGTTGGAGAGGGCGGGTCCTCAGACGGAAAAGTGGTCGCGATACGTGAGATGGTGGCCGTGGGGCGCTCTCGCTGGTGGTGTCCGCCTCACGGAGCAGGGCATCACAGCGCAAGGGGCGGGACGTTGCCCGATTTTCGGCACGCGGCAGGTGCGGTAGCCCTGCGTCGTGCCGGCCGGCGGCGATCCCGCCGCTGGCGTGCAACGTGGAACGCCGCCGGCGACGCAGCATTAGTCGGTGTTGACCGATCTGATGGCTCGGAAACGGCCGATCGTTCAGGATTGACGATCTCCGCGGTGTCAGGAACCCAGGCCAGGGACTGCGCGACAGGAGCCCGCGGGGCACCGTCCCGGGAGGGCCCCCCCAGGGCGGTGTCAAGGAAGCCCAGGAGGGCCCACTGGGCGCCAAGAGGGCCCCAAGGAGGCCGCAGGAGGGCTCCGGGCGGACGTAGGAGGCCGCAGGATGCCCCGAAGCAGCCGAGCATCGAACGGACGCCGTCACAGTCGAGTAGTAAAACATGTAGGCATCGGAGACGCGGCGAGTCACCGCTGCGCCTTGCCTTCTTGAGGCCTGTATGTGCCTGGACGCTGTGTCTCATTCAAGCTTCGCGCGGCCCGCTTAGCTTCGACCGGAAGAGGTGCTCTCTCGACCCGCGGATCAAAAGTGCCTGAACGTTGTGTCCAGAGCTCGGCCAATGTATCTGGGATGTGGGCAAAAGGTTTTATGGAGGACAGTCTAAAGAATGGTGCTGCTGGCTCTAGTGGGAGTTACGGTAGGAGGTTCACTCGGATATGCAAGCGGATGTGCAACCGCATCTGCAGCAGGAGTTGGAACCCATGTAGTGGGACTTGTGTTGATGTCGGCTGTAGGTTAGGCAGTGTTGTAGGACCTGTGGAAGGAACCGTTAAAAGAATTGCCGTCGGAGCTGTAGCCGAGGGTGCTGAAGGAGCAGGTGTGAGGGAAGTGTACTGCTGGCTGTCGTAGGAGCTGAATTTCGATAGGTTAGAGGAGCTGTAGTAATGGGGGCAGTCGTGTGAGCTGTAGTGGGGAGCTGATGAGCTGCAATGCGTGCTGTTCTGTAAGCTGTGCCATGGACCTGCACTGATATATGAGGTAACCATTGTATTAGGAACGGTAGTGAGACCTGTACCACTGTACGCGCGGGAGGGAGTTTGGCCAGTGAGGGAGAGAGATAGAGATAGAGAGAGAGAGAGAATGTTGCAGCATCATATGTGCTCTTCATCGCCCCACCAAGCTTGATGAGAATGCGCCGCTCGATCTGGGCACAGCAGAAGGCAGCCTACGGCCAACGCACTCGTCTCCACTGCTGTTTGCACTGTCACGGGCTAGGCGAAGCTTCAACAGGATCATGCCGATCATCGGCGACCGAGGCAGTGTTGGGCCTTCAACGGGATGTGCGTTTACCAATATATATCTGCCCCCTGCTACGCTGCCCCCAGTTTTTCATGAGATAGTGGAAAGGCAACTCACTGCGGAGGATGAACAGCAACAACGCGATCTCAACGGACGGCGTGGAACGCATGGGCTCACCGTGTTTGGCTTCAGGGAGAATGCCTTCTCTCAGGAGGTACGGCCACGGACTTCAAGTCAGACGTCTGTCGTGAGAGTTCGCGCCAGGCAATGCCAAAAGCCAGCTTTAAGACAGCAGCAACTAGAGCAGAAGAACTCACCGTGAACTTGATGACCATGTTGGCCTATCCTGCTGCTGTAATTCGGCGATGCGAGAGGACAAGTGGAAAGTCCCCGTTGACATAGCCATCCAGATGCACACGCTTTTGCAGTGCCGGAGGGACCTACCGCGACGCTCGAAGAGCTCGCGATTTTGCGTCAGGGTCGCCGCGACCCAGCGGTCATCCGCGCTGCGCTTAGCCAGGTTCGTCATGAGATGGCAGGGGCGCTCACTCGGTGATCAGACGCACGCAGTGCTCTTTCCTGATTCAACGTGTGCTCTCGGCGGCGCGGGTGGATCTGGAGGGGGCATTCCCATGGACCAGGTTGCCGTGTTGGAGTGCGGCGACGGATGGGCAGTTATGTCTTTCTGCATCCTGCGCGCCTGCGAGCTCCGTGACCTAGTCACGAGCATCGCATTTTTCCAGCTTGAGTTGTCGGAAGCACTGTGCCGGGAAGTCTCGACTGGAGACGGTGCCGGTATTGATGCCCTCGTTCAGGAAGCCGTGAATGTCCACGAGTAGGCGCCCTGGGCCTCGGAGGACGTCGCGGCGATGGTCTGGAGCAACGGCGACATGTGTGCTCCATCTGCCAAGAGACGTCAGATCACCCAGGAGAATCGCTTGGCCAGCTAGGAGCCGACTGGCGACGCTCTGGGCCGACCGCGTGGTTCTCTCATCCGGATCCGGGACGACTTACTCGTTGCAAACCATCGCATGGTTCGGACATCTCGCCAAGTTGTTCGGCACACTCATGGTCATGGGCCCGGGCACAGGAGGCTCGTGGAACATCAAGAGCACAGAGTTCGATGCATTCGTGTCTCGTTTGGAGGAGTTGTTCCCAACCATCTTGTGGTGTTGGGTCCTCGTTTTGAAGAGAGCGCCCCGCGTCTTCTGCTTCCTCTCTCCCCTCCTTCTCCCTCTCCTCCCCCTCCTCCCTCTCATCTTGGCGCACCTCTCACACGTTTCGTTGCCCCACATTGAGCTCCACCGAAGGCCTCAGTGGCGGTGTCCTCATGCGTCCTCGCAATCCATTTCGGCAAACCCCTCACTTGTTTCGTGGCCCCAAAGGAAGCCCCACCGAAGGCCCCAGTGGCGGTGTCCACATGCGTCCTCGCCACTCATTCGGCACACCTCTCACGCGTGTCGTGCTCCACAGAGAGCTCCACCGAAGGCCCAGTAGCGATATCCATATGCGTCCCCACCATGCATTTCGGCACACCCCTCACACGGAAGCTCCACCGAAGGCCCCAGTGGCGGTGTCCATATGCGTCCCCACCATGCATTTCGGCACACCCCGCACACGTTTCGTGGCTCCATGGGAAGCTCCACCGAAGGCCCCAGTGGCGGTGTCCACATGCGTCCCCGCCACTCATTTGCGCAACTCTCACACGTTTCGTGGCCCCACAGGGAGCTGCGGGGAACCTGCGACAGCTCGAGGTTTACCCCTCGAGTGCCGTGTAACGGAACAGAGACCACCTGCGACAGTTGCGCCCTTGCCTCGGTACCGACCACCGCCGTGCCTCAACAGCCGCGCTCGGCAAGCAGATGGTTTTGCAGAGCGACCTGGCTTTTGCAGAACTGTTGCTTTTGCCATGCTGTGGCAAGCGCCTCATCTGGTGCGCTCAGCGGCCCAGTGGCGCGCAGGTCAATCCACCACCGCTCCGGCGAAGAGGCAGGAAGCGAGGAGAAGGTTGAGCTCGGTATTGAAGAGCGACTTTCCCAGCACAGCGGAAGGGTAGCCTGCTGCGGAAGCGGGGTCCTCCAAAGCGGTGGGTCAACCTCTTGCGCCCTCGCAGTCGTCCTGGGCCGCTGCTGCTAAGGAAGGCAGGCGCCACCGTCTTCCCAAACCGTCCCCACCTTGGACGGCGGCTTCGAGTCCGCCTCAGGACGGACGGCTGGCACTTCGGCCGTCACCCCATCTCAAGTCGGGCGTGTCCCTCTACAGGAGGAAAAGTCAAACATAGTTTGCAAAATGTTCAGGGGACGATTGTTCCGCTATTTCTGCTCATTTTGGGGGCATGTTGTTGTTGAACATTATTTCTTCTTAAGAAGAATTATTGTTGGGACCCCTGGTGCACGACCCCCCCGCCGCGCCTAGGCCGCAGCCTCATTTTCATCATTTTCGTGAGGAAGTCTCAGGCAAAACGGGGGAGTCCGGATCCGGTTGTGTTGTTACGATCGGTTTTCCCTTGCAACAAATAAGCTAAAGTGGACATTTCTTGTTCTAACATAACCAAACTTCAAGAATCCCTTGCAAAAATAAGGTAAAGTGGACATTCGCGCGCGCAAGACGAAATCCTTCCAAAACCTTAGTTTTCGTAGCGATTTTAACATAAAAACATCAAAAAACCAATGGTTTTTCAAAAAAAATGTCAAAATTCATCCCGCGCGCTCTTGCGGATTCGTAGGAAACCCAACACTTTTTAATCATTTCTGTCAAACGGGCTTTTGCGAGCAACTTTTTCGAACTTCTGCAACAACGGTTGCGCACCTGCCAGGGCCATCATCCCTGTCAAATAATACCATGCGGGACACATTCGTTTTTTCTTCGCGCGCGCACGCCGTCGTCGTCGGCCGCGGGGCCCTGAATAGTAGCCACGGTCGTCCGCATGCCACGAAGTGAAGTGTCCGAACGTCATAGGGCGGGAAGCTGGGTGTGGGTGGTGGCGAAGAGTCGTTTGGAAATTTGGTAGAGCTTGAACCGGCCCCCCCACAAAGTGGGGGTATTGCCCGCCTCCTATGAAAACCCTGGCACTGGTGAGAACGGTGTGTCCCCACGTGCTAGTAAGTGTTGTTGTTGTTGTTGCTGCTGCATTTTTCGTTCAACATCCGCCCGCAGGAAGACATATCCGACCTAAGCTCAATCTGCGCTGGC